CGGGACCGACACCTCTCTGCCAAGATCCCTTGAAGATAAGGATATCATCCTTGTACCCCTTGTCCGAGTCAGGAAGATGGGTTACAAGGTACATGGAGGGGTCCCTAGCTTTGAGGTAGAAGTGTTGGTGAGGCATGACTCTAAGGAGGGAATAACAAAAAAGGAGATCGTTGAGCCCAATATTTACCCCGAGGCGCCTATTGAGCTCTAAGATCCCCATGATTATTCGGAAGACATTAAGGCAGCATTGCCCGGGGAAGAGGCGGAAATGAGAGAGGAACTGAAGAAGCAGGGGGGTAAAGGAAACATAATTCCACCCTCTATGATGGCCTTGGTATAGAAAGGCATGGCATCCTCAGCCCCGAGGGTAGAAGAGTGCACCACCGGGCCCTAAACCTATTGATCTGCTCATCGCCTTTTACCTTATATTTCCCTGACCCCGAAGGACCAGCCTGAGGATTCTCGGGAGCAGGGCGACGACGAGGCATCTCTAAAAAAGTAAGAAAGAAGAGGGTATTTGTTCTTCAAAATCCCTGAGGAAGTTTCCCGAGGGTTAAATCGCTATGTATCGACCGGATGACACCTCCAGTCAATCGAAAAACAAAAGGCTAGCAGGAAGAAAAGAAAGAGGATTCTGAAACTCACCCGAACGTCAAAATGGAGTTTTTTCTGGAAAACCTTAAAGTGACTCCCTCCAGAAAGTTCAGAAATCAACAATGGGTCTGTTGGCTTTAAGATTTTGAGGAAGAATGGGCAGTCGACGATGGCAGAAGAAACAAAACTCCGGCGAAGAATCAAGAAGAGATACTCTGGAGAAAGTTCGAAATGGCAAAACGAGGAAAACGGGAGAGGAACCCCCTTTATATAGGGGCAATTTTCATCATTGGGCGCGAAAACCGAAACGGCGCATTTAATGCGCACGACATCCCAAGCCGGGGAAAGCGGCTCGAGGCCATGATGAAGGACGGGTGGTAGTTGGGAAACCCTTCGTCTCCTTACAACGCGTGTCCTCGGTGTCAGAAGATCGAAGGCTGGGGGACAGTTGATGAGACTTTTCTGAAATACCCTATGATGAAGACACGTGTCCTCGGTTTACTAAAACACTGTTGCTAGGATCAAGCACCATCGGCGTACGAATGCCCTCGCCCCCGAGGTACCATCATGTAGGATCATACATTCAGTATATTTTACAACCGACACGTGTCCTCGGTCAGATACGTACCTCGGTCGGCATAACTCCCTCGGTCCCTGAGATCAGCCTTTCCTCGGTGCTGAGAGGTACCCCGTCCTGGACGCTTCCTCTATTCCAGGATAAGCTATTGACGTGCAAGTCATTAGCCTAGGCTAGTCTAGGCTATTCATCATGACCTCGTCTTACACAAGTAATGTCAGAACGTACTGGAATACAGAGGTCACAGCCAATAGGGGATGGACGCTTGGCATATGATATCACATCAGAGACAGACAAACCGCATGTCGTTGCTGACACGCGACTTGGGAAAGCAAACAATTAATTGCACCATTCCCTTGATGAGACCGCATTCAATGCGGTAAGGCTCGGAAATGAAAGGCATAAATGCTCCTATTACAGAGCATTTATTGCATCCTCCCCGAGAGGAGCACATTGTACCGTCGGCATCCCGACGATCCAGCATTGATTGCTCGGGACCCCGAGCAGTTAATTAGAGAAGACATTCCTCATCAGAATCAATGCACACGCTACCTGAGCCTAATGATCACCTACTGACGACACTGACAGCAATCATGAGCTTTTAAGGTATAAATACTCCTTGCAAAAGGCAAAGCGGGTATGCAACAACAAACTCTCTACTACAATACATTTTTTCTCAGTGTTTTCTCCTTCTCTCTCTCACTAAAAGACTGACTAAACCGTCGGAGGGGATACGCCAGAAAACACTCCGGCGCCCTTCTAACTTGTTATTCTTTGTTCTAGGAACCCCTTTCAGCCTCACAGGATCGTTCTTTCTTCCCCAGGGTCTCCCGTTGCCGTTCCAGGTTACCACCGTACCTTGCAGGCTGTCCCAAGCAGCGTGTTTGGTCACTCAACCGGCTCACTCGAAATTCACCAAAAGAGAGATCTGTTCTCATTTTTTATATTGTGCAGGATCCTGCACGCACAATTTAATTGCAAGCTCTTATGCCCAGTTAATATTTCCCTTTACAGAGTATGTAAGGGTTTAAATGTAATCCTGTACAGCAGGTACAACATTGAGGACATGTGGTACATTTAATTACAAGCTCGTATGCCCCGGTTAATATCTCCCTTAGTTTGTTAATGCAATGCTAGTATTAATTACTTCATCCGTTCTTAAATATCTGACGTTTATGATTTTTACACAGAGATTAAGGAATATGAGTAAAAAAATAATTATACAAGACTAAAATATCCTTATTCAATACATATTGGGAAGAAAAAGAATATGAAAGACACTTACCTTACACTTAATCTATTAAGCACTTATTAAAAAATAGAGATATGGATAAATTTAGAAGAAAAAATATTAATTATACTTTAATTTCATAAAACGACAGATATTGTGAAACAACAAAAATTAGATAAAACAACGAAGAGGATAGGTGATAACACGTAAAAAAGTTCAATGGTCTTCTGAGTTAAAAGAAGAGTCATCCTATTCCTGGTCCAGGCTACATCGGAAAAAGTTTCTTTTGTTTTTTTTTGTTTTTTTTTTTTTGGGGGATCATATGTTGAATAATTGAGTTAGAAGATCACAGCAGGATTCATGGTGATAATCGAATAGTTTATCGGGCTGATTTTTTTAAACGAGTTTAAAAAATTATTTAAATTTGATTTGTTTAAAAACGAGTTGAGGCTGAACGAGTTCAAAATTAATCGAATTTGAGCTAGAGTAATGTTAGATGGACTTAAAAATTAGACTTGATAATTTCAATTATTGAATAGGTAGTGAGTCCCAATAAACGCTGGGACCCACAATAAAATCAACGGTTGAGATTATCAAGTTTAATCTCAAGTTTAATTTTTAAATGCATGTAACATTGCTCTTATAAATAAATTAGTCGAATTAATCGAATTCAAGCCAAACCTGTTGAATTTGTTTTCTAAACGAGTCTAAAAATTTGTTAAGTTCAACTCGTATAAAAAATAAGTAAACTTAAATGAGCTCAAAACAAGTCGAACCCGAGCCAGCTCGAATAGCTCAATTCAATTATCTGTCCTACCAGGAAGGTAAACTAAAGAAAAAAGTTTCATTCTAGCTAACCTTTAGGAGAAAACTCTGCTATTAATTTGCAGGGCATATCGTTTGCTCCTTCTCTTCTCCTGTGTGCCCCCGTGTTTTAGTGTTTGGTAGTAGTAACCTGGAATTTGTAATTGTAAGACCAGAAATATTATACAGTACGTTTGGCAATAGGTTCACCTCCAAAATTCCAGCACAGCTTGAGGATACAAACAGATTCCTGATAAACCTAGATGCCTGGGTGTGTTTGTGTTGCCGATAAGCAGGGTATTAAGGGGTGAATAGAGAAAAATAGTATCAGTGGTCCATTCATATTTTATTTGTTATCTTATTGTTGGTCCGGGAAAAAAAAATTTAAAAATAACACTGGCTCAGTGCTACAACAATACCACGTGGGGTGGTGTAAATATAATAATGAGGTGTTAAACAAACACATGATATTGCAACGTTAAATTACAACATTATCCTTTTCAATGCCTATGTTCTACACCAAGATAATGGTATTAAAGTCAATTGATATCAAATAACATTTTTTCTTTTTTATTATGGGGATCACAAAAAATATAAATTACTATATTGTCTATTTTAGGAGTCGTTTGGTAATGTTTTTATTTTTGTATTTTTTTTAAAAAATTAAAAATAGAAATAATTTTTATTTTTTTTTTGTGGTAAACACTGAAAACAAAAAACATGTTTAGAAATTATTTATATTTATAAAATTGTGAGAACAAAAATTAAAAATATGCTTGATAACCACGTCAAGTTGTATCCAAAGTTATACACTCATGAATTTCAACATATTCACAAATTCACCCACAATATATTCAACATATCCACAAATTCACCCACAATATACACTCACACAGACTCAGTACACACACACATACATAGATGGGAACGGAAGGAATTTTTTTAGGGAAAAAGAAAAAAAAGGAGGGGTTGTGATGGATCTGCACATAAGACACACATAGACACATGCACTCATGCACAGAACACAGACTCAGCACCCCAGATCGCCAGACAAGAGACAAGATGGAGAATCCAAAATCCAGATTGTCGAAGAAGAGACGATCGTCGAAGAAGAACCTATAACCCAGATCGTCAGAGAAGAGAGAATAGACTATCACCGACGATCAATCTTAGTTGAATGGACAGAGGCAATTTAGAAAATGAGTCGAGCCAAAAACGAGCTAAACTCGAACTAAATCCAAGTAGTTTGACTATTTTACATAAAAACAAATTAAACTTTGCAAGCTTGAACCAAGCCTTTTATGCTCATTTAGTAAAACGAGCTTAAAAAATTATTTAAGACCAATTCGTTTAAAATCGAACCCTATATGGCTTGACTTGATAAACAATACTAATTGTGAACCATTGAAATTTTGTTAAATTTCACCGCAAAGCAGAGAAAGAAAGAAACTTGAACAGTCCAAATACTAAGCACATGCTTATATGAAAAATGTGAGGCCATAACCAAGTTGTTCAAACTGAAAGCTGCTTTCTGGATCCTAAAAAGAGTTTTGTACTAAACAAGACTAATTCCTAAAAGTCTTCAAACCATAAAAGCAGAGGAACAACACCATACACTTAACAGTAAACAGCTAGAGATCAGTACTAGCCAAGATTAATAACTAAAAGACTTAAACCATAAAAACAGAGAAACAACACAATATAGTGACACATAATAACAGACTGATGGACATAACTACGTGCCTATGCCCAAATGTTTAATCTAATTTTTTTTTTTACTCTGAGTTGGTTGATTCACTCTGTCTCCGAATCATCCCCATTGCTGAATCCATTTTCATTCCCATCCTGAGCTGATGCTGATGCTTTGTCTTTCACTTCTGTACAATTTTGGTCATCCTCTTCATGCTCTTTCTCAGCTTTGAGCCTCTCTTCTTCCTCGGCTTTCAACCTTGCTTCTTTCTTGGACGTTTCAAGAGCTTTAATGAAATTCCTCAAACAAGTATCGGCATCTTCTTCAGCTGACTTAGGCATCAAATTCTCCGCAACATCAGCTGGAGTCATATTGGTTTCCTCTAACAAGGGTGAAATAGTTGCAAACAGATCATTCCAGTCAAGGTCTAAATAATTCTTTGCCAACACTTTAAATGCTTCGAAACAACAATAGGACAATTCAATGTGCTTATCCATGCGCTCTCTACGAATGAGAGCAGGATCGAGTTTCTCCACATAGTTGTAAACACAATGATTCTCTCAGACCCACAGGCCGACAAAATTCCATCGATGAAATTCAGAAGCCCGGATAGAGTGACCTTGCTCTTGTTTTCGTCTTGATTAGCTTTTGCCTTCGTAAAAACTACAGAGTCCTTTCCTTTTTCCTTCCCATCTTCCTCATTTTTTTCCTTCCTTTGGCCTGTGAGATCCAGCGAACAATCAATGTCCTCAATCACAATGATGGACTTACTCGATGTGTCAATCAATAGCTTCCTCAACTCGGTGTTATTCTTAACAGCCGTTAATTCAAGATCATAAACATCATATTGCATAAAATTAGCCATTGCAGCAATCATGGTGGACTTACCAGTTCCTGGAGGACCATAGAGAAGATACCCACGCTTACATGCCTTGCCAATTTTCGCGTAATAGTCTTTAGCCTTGCTGCAGGTAACGAGGTCATTGATAATGTCCTGCTTCTTCTTTGGTTCCATGGCCAAAGTCTCAAATGTAGCTGGGTGCTCAAACACTATGTGGCTCCACATGGTGTTGTGACCATGCCAATTCTCACCACGGCTGTTGGTGTAGAGTTTTCGCTGCCTGTTTCTTATTGAAATCTTCTTCCCTTCCTCCAGGACATGATTCAAATAGTATCCAGTGACCATATCGTGATGCCGCTGATGAAAACTGAGCTTGTAATGCCTCCTTTCATCTTCACCAGGGTAGAATGTGATTGTTTGTGAATTAGGAAGTTTTTTGCTGAACACCCAACAAAGCTTAATCCCTTCAAATTCATCGATGATCTCCTCGTAATCGCCCATGCTAAGGACTAGAGATTGACTATCTTTCACTACATCGCCTTTAAGCCGCTTAACTCGCATGGTAGAATTAGCACCAAGATAGGATTCAATGGCGGCATAGGCTTTGCTGCGCTTGAAGCCATCATTTGGGTATTCATGAAAAGTGATTTGTATATAGGGGAACACCCAGTTCACTAGTTTCTGACCATATTTTTCAATTTTGAGCTGAAGTTGATAGGGGAAGTATTGCTGAAACATGGCCCAAACAAACATTACAGTGCCAATCACTGAGCCTAGTTGAGCCAAGGATTCCCCCATCATCATCATCATCTTCTTCTTCTTCTTCTTCTTCTTCCACTAACTCAATCAAAACTGATGAAGTGTTTTTTTTCTTTCTATGAAGGCTTGTCCCAAGTAGGGCTGAATATATAGAAGAGAAGAATGTGAATAGAATCAGTGTTATCTTTATGAGCACGGTAATATTATGCTCTGAATAATGCTGCTCACACTGACTTTGTGCATCACCATTTTAACGTGGCACAATCAAAATCATTGAATACCTTACAGATCCGTTAATCTAAAGGTCCATGTTAATAGCATTGGTTGTTACGCTTTACCAGGTCAATACCTAGTCAATGCAAAAACAAAAAAATCTCTGTCTAGTAACCAATTTACGGAAAAACATTAACTGTTACAGCTGTATTCTTCAGCCAAAAGAGAAAAAAGGACGGGCTCATTTTTGCCTTTGATGCCACAAGCTCAAGAGGAAAGGGTAATGCCAAGTTGGTGATACTGGCACACAGTTCAGGACAGTCATGCCCTGTGGGAGTGTTAACATTTACCATAGTAGATGAGGAAATATTTCCTATCCTATGAGATGTAGTGACTACCCATGAAAGAGATGTTCAAGCCAATGAGATACAGTGATCACCCATGAAAAAGTTGAATTCAGATGATGATCTTTGATCACATTATGTTCAAGTTCAGTATTAACTTCCTTGCCCACAAAGGGTAACTCCATTTGGACATGACTTAGGCACCAAGTTTTGCCATATCTATGTAAGACTCCTTTCATCTTCCTTGTGCACCTTTTCATACTCTTTTCACTCTCATCTATGGCTCACGAAAGTCCAAAAGGTGTCCCATGAATAAGACAGTGACCCCTTTTTATCACATTGAGTCATCCTTGGGTGACACTTAAATTAAACTGAGTCATCTAAAGATTAGAATGTTGTCACATTACCAGTAAGAAAGATATTGTGTAATCATCCAGATCGCCGGAGAAGAGAGAATAGACGATCACCAACGATCAATCTTAGTTGAATGGACAGAGGCGATTGAGAGAGTAGAGAGGAGAGACAGAGCAGTGATGGAGAGAGGAGAAAGAATGAAATGGGTTTAAATACTTGGGCAAAAAAATACCTTTTTTGTTGTTAACAAAGCTCGAAGTCTAGATTTCATTAACTTCCCACCAAGCCTCGCGTGTGCTTCTATTTCACTTGTTTCTTGGAATATCCTTTTTTTTTTTTTTGATACGAAACGGCAAAAATTATATTTCATCAAATAAGTATTCTATCTTGTTGAAGGAGAGGATACATGAACTTAGGACAATCTCTCCTCCAACTAATAGAGTCGTTACGTTGCAAAGCATATTTAGCTAAGAAATCAGCAACATTGTTTCCAGAGTAATTTGTCCACCTCACAAGGAATTCTGACAAATTAGATACATGAAATTGGATCTACTCCACAAATGTGCCAATATCAGTAAAATTAGGCTCTCTCCTACTACTGATGACATCCATAACTATTTTTGAATCCCCTTCAAGCATAACTCTTTCATATCTTAATTCTATTGCAAATTTCAGTCCAAATAAGGCAACTATAGCCCCCACATGTACAACAACCATCGATTTTCCAACATATTGACACATACCAGCAACAAAAAAACCATTATAGTCTCTGATAACTACCCCAATACCATAAGAATTTGAATCCTTACATGTAACACCATCAAAGTTAATTTTGATAGTACTTGAAGATGGCACACTCCAAGAACCACTATCAAATTGTGTTTGTTGGTTCGATATTGTCTTCTTATGTGCTTGGACATCCAGGAACTGATGAATATAAGAAGTAGCAAAATCCAGAATTCTCCCTAGGTATTGGACTAGGTTATACCAAATCGACCAAATCGACCAGGTTAACGTCATGAACAAACCTACATCACTAATAGGAACACTTTATGTTACTTTAATTAGCCATTCTTGGACTGAGTAGGCAGCCAACAGTGGAAGTTTAATACCCGAACCCTTCCAGACCTCCAAAGAAAAAGGACACTCCATGAACAAATGAGTCGATGTTTTCATATCAAATCCACAAAAATAACACTGAGTTTCAACTAGGATCCTTCTCCTATGTAAGTTGCAATTGGTTGGCAGAATATCTTGAAAAACCCTCCAAATAAAGTGCTTAATTTTATTGGGAACATTCAACGCCCAAATAAATTTTCACTCCACTTATTCTCACTGCTACTAGGCTCTCACTTGTGAAGATTCTCCATTATCAAGTGATACGCACTTCGAATTGTAAACAACCCTGATTTAGAGAAATGTCCTACTTGACGATCCAAAGGGAGATCTTGGTAGACTGGTATGCACAGAATGTCCTCCACCTCAAAAGCTAGAAAAAGATTTCAGAGCATGTCAATGTTCCAACATTTAGTAGTAGTATCAATCAAAGTGCTTACCCTGACATCATCCTCCACCCCTAGCAGCAGACTTAGAGCTTTGAACGAATTGGGTCTGGGAATCCAGTTATCACCTTTTATTCGAATATCCATTCCATTTCCCACTCTCCATCGAAGACTAGAAACAACATAATTCTTTGTAGCAAAAATACTCCGCCAAGTGAAACAGGGGTTGTATCCCAATTGAGCATCCAGAAAAGAAGATCTAGGAAAATTCTTTTCTCTAAAAACTCGGCTAATCAATAAGCAAGGATTATGGAACAATCTCCAAAATTGCTTGGCAAGAAGAGCTTGATTAAAAACTTCAATATTTCTGAACCCCATTCCCCCTCTAGATTTCGGTCTGCACAGCTTGTCCTAACTCATCCAACGAATCTTATTAGAAGACTCATTGCCTCCCCACTAAACCTTGGACATTAAGCTATTTAACTCATTACATAAAGACGAAGGGAGTTTAAAACATGACATAGTATAAGACGGTATAACTTAGGCAACTAATTTAATTAAGATCTCTTTACCTGCTTTGGATAGCATCTTATCTTGTCAGCCTTGCACACTTTGCCAAACTCTTTCTCGAATCACATCAAAGATAGCCTTCTTTGTTCTCCCCACAATAGAAGGAAGGCCATGATCCTTCGACTATTTGGATTCCAAAAATAGAAGATAACTCTTGCCTTATATCTGGCTATACATTCCTGCTAACGACCAACACTGATTTGGAGTAATTAATCACCTACCCTGATGCATTTTAATAAAGTTGAAGACAGTCCTTTAAAACCTCGGCATTTTCTTTTGTGGCTCGATCGAACAAGAGGCTATCATCTGCAAAGAAGAGATGAGAGAATGATGGACCCAATCTACTAGCAGATATTCCTTGTAACATACTTGAATCTTCTCTAGATTTCAACAAACTAGACAAACCTTCACAAACATAAGAGGAAAAGGTAAGGAGAAAGAGGGTCCCCTTGTCTTAAACCTCTTGTACGCCTTATAAAACCCAATTTTTCACCATTTATAATAAAAGAGTAGGATACTAACCAAACACATCTCATCAGAATTTTGATCCATTTGAAATCAAATCCTAGCTTGCCCATAATAACTTAAAACTCCACTCTATCGTAAGCTTTGTTCATATCTAACTTCAATGACAGATATGCTCTTCCCCCACTTCTTTTCTGTTTAATATTGTGGTTTAACTCATATGCAATCAGTACATTATTTGTAATGAATCGATCAACTACCTTTTCCTTTTGTATGCAATTCCCAGAGAAATGGTTGAATGGACGGACTTACGACTGAAACTCTTATTGGGGGGCCTTACCTTACGACTGCTACGGGTAGCTCTTTAACTATCTGGCTATCTCTCAAGAGTGAAACAATCCCCTCACTACTTGGGACAAAAGCACTCTGAAATTCTGAGATGACACTTGGCAGAACAATTTATCTAATATAAAAATAAAAACACAAACTCAATGCATTTTTTTAATTTTTAATTTTTATTTTTTTTACAAAAAATAAAAACAAAAATAAAAAACACGAAACAAAAATACCAATCAAACCAACCCTTAATGTCTAATGATCTAAATAAAAGTGAACATACATTCAAGTCAATCTCAAATGTCTGGACCTCACCAATGTCTCTCTAAGATTTAGGTGTTGTTTTAACTTTTTGATGTACCCCTTACCCAAAAACATTTTGATGTACCCCAAAAAAAAAAAATGAATCTCAAATAAAATAATCATTTCATTTTATTATCAAATATAATTATTACATTTTAACTTACACAATCCTTACTTAAGTTGGAGAAAAAGTAAGCTACCCCTATCAAACACAATATATGGGTTGGAATGGAGACTCCAATCCCACCCCAACTAATTCTTTAAAACAAAACGTTCAATATAGGAATTACACACATAACACAAGATATGCAAAGGAATTCTCTATCAACCGAGATACCCAACCCCCATCCTGGGCTGGAGGAGAGAGGAGGGGGGGGGGGGGGGGACAAGATAAATTCCTACTATATAAATATAAGATCATTCAGATTAAGACCCTTTAGCACATGGTTAAAGCCAAAGTTGCTGAAGGAATAGAGAATACAACAATATTTCTCCACCAAGAGACAACCCTACATGAATCTTGCTGTCTCAGTTGGTAATACTCATCTCCACTCAATTTTTTCATTTTTGCTTATCTTGATGGACCCATCTCCTTCTCCTTCTAATTCCTTTTCATTTGATGGCTTGCTCTGATTTGCTCTTCCAATTGATTGTTCCTTAGTCTCTTTGTTCTTCAGATGTTCTTTTCTTTCTCTCCATCTCTCTCTCCCTCTATGGCTTCATTAGTTGATGATTCTTTGGCTTAGCTTCTTCCTTAGTCTTCAGCCTTGCTTCCTCTTTGGCTTTAGCTTCTTCCTCAGTCTTTAGCCTTGCTTCCTCTTGGCCTTCTCAAGAGCTCCGATCAGACTCTCCAAGCAAGTCTCTGCCTCCCCAGGAAAAGTCTTGGGCATCAAATTTTCCGCAACATCCGCAGGGGTCATATTAACTTCCTCTAACATCTCACGAATTTTCAAAAACAGGAGGTGGGTCTCAAGATAAGATAATTCTTTGCCAGAACCTCGAATGCTTCAAAGCTACAGTACGATAATTCAATGTGCTTGCCATTCTTCCCCTCCGAATGAGCGCCGGATCGAGTTTGTCCACATAATTTGTTGTAAAGACGATGAGTCTCTCTCCTCCACAAGCTGACCAAAGCCCATCAATGAAATTCAGAAGCCCAGAAAGAGTAACCCCTTTGCTTTTGCTTTCAGTTTCATTTTTTACTAGGTTCTTGCTGGATCCTTCTCTTCTTCCTCCTCTTTCTCCTCTTTCTTCTTCCTTTGTCCGGTGAGATCGACCGAACAATCAATGTCTTCAATCACAATAATCGATTTGCTCGGTGTCTCAATCAATAACCGCCTCAGCTCAGTGTTATCTTTCACGGCGGTTAATTCTAGATCATAAATATCATAACCCAGAAGATTAGCCATGGCGGCGATCAGGGTGGACTTTACAGTCCCGGCGGGCCGTAAAGAAGATAACCACGCTTCCACGCCCTTCTATCCTGGCATAGAATTCTTCTGCTTTAGTGAATGTGATTAAGTCATTCATAACCTCTCTCTTCTTCTCTTCCCCCATGGCTAATGTCTGAAACGTTGCTGGGTGCTCAAAAATCACATGGCTCCAGTGAGATCCATTGTTTGTGTAAAGCTTTCTCTGCCGATCCTCACACCTTAATCGCCTTGCCCTCTTTCAGAACATGATTCAAATACGGACGGATTATGAGATCTCTTTGATTTTATGGAATTTGAGCTTGTAATATCTCTTCTCTTCAGTAGTTGGGTAGAGTGAAAATGACTGAGTTTTCGAAATATTCTTCCCGGAAGCCCACGAAACTTTGACTCCTTGGAATTCACGGGTACCTTTCATGATCGTCCATGCTCAGAAACAGAGATGGCTGTTGCTGCCAATATCAGCCTTGAGCCTCTTGGCTTGGGAAGAAGAATTGAGCTCAAATAAGTCTCGATGGCCGAGTATGCTTCACTGCGCTTGAGACGCTCACCAGTGAGTTCATTGAAAGTTACTGGATATAAGGGTAGAAGAAATATAGAGCTTTTGAGTGTGTGTTTTTCGAAATGGGTTTTGAGATGGGAAGGGAAGTATTTTCGAAGATTGCTCGAACAAACATGAAACCAGCGATTAGAGAACCTAGTTGACAAAACATCTCTCCATCCTCATGTTTGATCTTCGTTCGTTTCAAACTCTTTCCTCTGCTTCTTGCTTAAATAAGCCAATGT